TATGACGTTGACAACCCCAAGACAACACAGGACGCGTCATCCACAATTGTATCTGAGTCTTTAACAAGGAAGAATATAGAATAGGAGGAGAAACTCGTGTGTCACCATCAACAAGAAGGTACAAAACAACACCGCACTCTGTGGCCAGAATGGGTACTTCTTTAGCGTTGAAGCAGCAGCCTCAGGAGCACGGCACTCAATCTACTATTTGCATATCGAATGTAGATATTAACTTCCGTAATATCACGTATTCAACTTATTTTGCGCCTATTTAAAAATAACAAAACAATTGAGGTTGGGAAGAATCGGTTGGCTATTATAAAAAACAAACATGTTTGTTTATAGTATTCATAAAATATATTCTGAAAACAATTTTACACAATATTATAGAGGAAAACAACACAGGCACAGAAGAATAATCTGGTATTACATCATTACATTACTATGAATTGCACACACATCATATTATTGTAACAACTTTTGACGCGTTCCGTGTTCACACGTATCGTGTTAATGCAATTATTATTTACCTCCAACTTTTCAAGTTACGACACAAAACACATCTTTTTTTATGAATTAAAATTGGCATAAATGATTTTATATCAATATCAATGACTTGCACGTTCGATCAAGATATACTTTGTCTTTAGAAACATTTTTTATCATTACTAATGCACCAAATAATTACCAATACACCAAATCACTACACATTACCAAATCATACACCAAATCGCATTACTAATACACCAAATAAACAAAGTAAAAGTACATTGCCTCAAAATACAAATATTTGATACCTCTTTTATCCGATCCCAGAGCCTTCCGTTATTCACACATCTCTGTGAATTGAATTATGGAATCAAGCAGCATTCATCACAATTTACTTGTAAGGAAAATGCAGTCTATTAGCATATTTGCACTTTGTGACAATCCATATCGAATAATTTAGAAATGATCATTTAATCAGACATGACATTTATCTAAGTACCACAAAAGAAATATATTTGGAATTTGTACGGATATCATAGCACTAATATATTTTTTGTATACCAACATTATAAACAACCTCTTTCCATTAACAAAGTTGTTCATATGGCATATTGCACGAATCATTTCTTCACAAAATGTGAGCCATCTCTGACGTAATAGTCACGGCCCCTATATTTTATCAATTATGGAGTTTAAAGAAGGCAGTGGTACCATGTAAATAGATTGCAGTGTTCACAGTAAAATCAAATACGTTATGAAAAAACTTACTTTAAAAAACTGATTTACTAATTAATTACTCCTTTAAAATATTTTTTTTATTTGGTAATATAACAAGAACAACATAATAAGAACAACAAAAACATCAAATTAATTCTTGTGAACATGTACATTAATTGTACAATTTGATAAATTGGTAATTAACACTGTAAAGTGACACTCCAGAACATGCATTTATATCTAAAGTGTTTGTTTTTTTCTTTGCTTTCTGCACAAACCAATATCTTGTTAGCTATTTGAATCTTGTTATTCATCGATTCTTCACTACACTTGTAGACCACCATCGTCCATGACGTTTAAGTGTAGTGATATCACCACCATTATCTGCGAGAAACGTCACGGATGTTCTCCAAAACAAATGCCCAGAGTACTTTTCTGCATTTGGTAATTTTAAAACATTTGCAATATTTTTTGGTATTTTCGCATATGTATTAATACCAATTGGATTGCAGCTGCATTTGCCGTGATTGTAAAACAAAAAAGTTTATTGTGTTTAACATGTGAGGGCCTTAAGGAAATGTATTTATTACAGACTTCTACATAATTAAGTTCTTCACTAGTAAATATTCTGGGCTTGTCATTTTTTGTCGCTTTAATGTTCACTATCAAAATAGAACCTTCCACTTTCACATCGTTGATGCTCAAATTATACAATTCGACACGTCTACAAGCCCCAAATATGCTAAAAAGAGCAACAACCTGAAAATCATACCAGCTATAATACAATACACCAGTTAATAAATAAAACTTAACTATTATTGCCATTGTCATTATTATACATTCAGTAAAAGTTTCATCAGCTTTTGGAAGAAATGTGTTTGCATCTTGTGGGGAAAATACGAGTTGGGAAAATTCGTACCATTGCCTTTATGGGTTGATATCCCACACTTGCTTGTTTCATATGTAAACTTACTTTATGAAAAGGTCCAATATCAATATTGTCTTTTATCTTTAGCATTGCCTTTAATTTGGAATAAGTGCACCATAGTGTCGACGCTTTACATGCGGTGGACTTTGTGTTTAAAGAAACATGCATTAAATTAACAAACGTCTTTATTTTAGCATGTGCATTATACTAACTTAACTAACCTGCTCCGACAGATACGAAAGAACAACAGCTTCGCATAATAAATTTGCAGATTTTTCATCCATCCATTTCCTAAACTTTAAGTACTCTTTGTCATAAAATTTTCAAGACTTTTTCGGTATCAAAGCATTTTCTGCTTTTACAGCTTCTTCAACAATTTCTCTGGGCAAATCCATTATGTTTGAATCGTGAATTTCAAATTAATTGCCATTTGTAAACAAATGTGTTGCTTAAGTAGCATTCATGACGTCATACCATGAATTCGAGAACTACTACAACTACGAATTACAACATAATCCAAATTAATTTCGCTTCCTTAAATCCTTATAATACTGTTACGCAAAAAATAGTGTATGCAACTCATTTATAATGTTACTTTATGCACTCACAAGAAGATATTACCGAACTCACTCCTGACGTTCGTTCGGTAATACCTTCTTATTCGTGCAAAAAAGGACAACATTATAAACTAATTGCATAATATACTATTTTAACATTTTATTAAGTCTCATAATATGTGGTTTTCAAATTTGTAATTATTGAATTACGTAAGCTAACATTTACTTATTACTTATATTTATCCACACACATACGCACGCACACCCACACACGCGCGCACACTCTCTCTCACACACACTACAAAATGTCATTTGAACCTTACGGTTCTTTATCCTCTTCCAGATCTGCAGTTTAGATTGGAAAAGATGCATGCCCTTTTACGAATATAATTTGTTAGTTTAAAACGCGTGTTATTTTTTCTAATTCATCATATTTTCATTCAGATCATACAACTGAATGGGTAATAAGCTGGCAAGATTTGTAGAGATATATAAAAATAAAGATATATAAAAAGTAGAACTGCAAATAAGTACACATTTGTGGTGGAAAGTTGGAGACAGTTTTTATATAAAAGAAACTATTAAGCTTAGAACACTATAATTGTTTTGCCTATTTATTTACGAATCAGTGGAATTCCTCATAACTGTCTTACTCAAGGGTGTTTTCATGCAATTCAGTTCTTTTCTTCTCTAACTTCTCCAGCTGACTGGATTCTATACTTCATGTTGTAGAACCAGAGCCCAAAATCTAATGCAGAATCAATACACCCAAATTTCTCAGGCTTGTATATTACGGATTTTAAACTTTTGTGCATTACTTTTATAAAACAATAGCTTGTAAAGCTCTTAAGTTGTCTGAAACGTACGAAATAACACCATACTGGATGCAAATGAATCAGGATACGAACTAAAGCCAATACACTTGATAACAATAAACTAATTTGTTGTTACAATTGGGCCGTATGACTGGCAAATACAATTTTATTTATGAATTTGATAAAACATTCAAATGCAACAGGCAGCAATTTATTTCCCACTCACCTACTGTAACTCGATATCAGTACTCGAAATATTTCACTCACTTTCCCGGTCCAGAGGGAAACGTGACGAAACTTTTTTCTTTATCCTGCCGAACAGCGTTTGCGAATCCTGGATCTCAACATTTCGCCATTGTGATCTGCAACACTTGATAATAAAGCACATCACCAAACGTCGCTCACAAACAAACATGTTGTTATGTGCAACACCCTCTCCACCAGGCAGAAACGAAATTCGAGGATGAAATGAATGGTAATTCGGGACTGAATGGTATTGGGACATTCGTATGGTCGCACCGCTTCCTGACGAGCAAATTTTCGAAGTAGCGTTTGAAATTACACTTAAAATAGATGCCACCACATGAAAACGATACTAGCGAATCTAGTCTATACTCTCAAACAGTGAGAGTTTTCCCTCCTATTTATATTCCTCCATGCAGCGAGAGTTTCTCCTCCTATTGTACATTCCTCCATGTCTTAAATGCAAGAAAAACTTTTGCCAAAGGTATTCATTTGTTTCTAGAAGACCAGTCTCTAGTTTAAGGACTATTTTTGCTCCCCAGCATGTTAAATCCATAACTTTTATTTTCCTTACAGATCTTGGAAGAAAATATCAGCTGGAATGTAAAATTGCCCAACAAAAGAAGACAATGGCTTTAAAATCTAAAATTATGCCAAAATTTATGTTTACCACTTTTTCTTCTTACAAAGTAGGAACATGAAAGTAAAAAGTAACATTTTTATAAAACTATTTTTCTTTATACCCAATAGTAATGTCACAAACGTACACATGGAAATAAATAAGAGATCATCTGAAAAAAAAGTTTGGTATTATTTGATTATCTTACAAATGAAAAAATGCTATTTATATTAATTATACTTTTTTCAATTTCACATTTTTTTTCAAATAAAATATTGAATTTGCATTAAAAAATATTTGTTTTGGAAATATGTTCATATTTATTTGGCTTCAGGAGAACCAAATTTGAGTAGATTTGTAACTTCATTCTTGTCTATGAATTGCTCCTTTGTTCCATTATTACATACACTTCTATCCAGGGCACTTAAATAGAATTCAAATGTAGGTTTGGATTTGTTTTGGCAATTCCTTACCATTCTCACAGAATCTTTCAATTTCAATTACTCGCTGTTCAGCGGGTAGCCTAACCGAACTTCCCAGGACCTGGCTTCATTTTGCACAATGTGAAAGTCGGCTTTCATATATTACAACCTCCTTGATTCCTAGCTCCATGACTCAGATGGAGGTTCGTAGATGTATCCAGGGCAGATCCAGGGACTCTGCTCAGATGCAGAAATCAGAGCAACCTAGTGGACATGGCGAGAATTTGCAGCGCGCGCATTCTGGAAGCAGATACGAAAACTATTTCCATTTTATTATGTAGTAGGAGGGAAAATCGTGGGGGTATCTGTTCCAAATCACTAGTGTCACTTGAGGAATCCGCAGTTTTTTCAGCGAATTGTCGAGTTTATTGCGAGATTAAAAGCTATCCCTAACTCATATTACATGTAAAGTGTTGTGTTGGGGTGCCTTCAATGACACTGCGAGCTGCTGCTTTAGTACTACTGATATATACAAGTAATTGAGGTTAGGTAGTACACACGTTAAAGAATGATTAAATAAATGTCAGTTGTTAGTCACGCCGAACGTCGCAAATGTTTACACGTCGAAAATGCTTATGACGTTCTGTAAGCGTGCGGGGGGATTTTAATCGGTATTATGATTGCATTTTGTTGTGCAACCTACTCCTTGTGTGAGGAAACGCCATTAGTTTTTGATAGAGCTATACATGGGTGTAAAATAGGTGTTCGAATGGGCTTGTAATGGTTCGATGAATTACTCAATATGATGACTGGATTTCGACTGTCTTAGTTACTTTACGCTGGCAGCGTTTCTAACTGTACATTTTGTACAATGTCATGCATAGAACCTGATTTAAAGAGGAAAAAAATGAACAAATCAGGGGGTAGGTTTGTTCTTAAGCAAGATTATTCAATAATACATTACAATTAGCCTACAACAGCAATTTTCCTGTCGTAGATTCTCCAGGAATTACAGATTTGCCATCTGCACAAGAATTAGAAGAGATGTGCATGTCACCTGATCCATTTGAAGATTCTTCTCCTGAAAGGATTTCTTCACCTGAAGGAGGTAATGTTGAAACATTTGTATCAGTGACAACCAAAAGACTTTCGAAAATAGTTTTCTCATGTCAAAGCCAATCAAGTGTAAAGGTATTTCACAATTAATTTTATAAATAATTGCATGACTACCTTGTAGACATTTTGTATAAAATAATTAATTTTCCAGACAATTTATGTGGACAATCCATGACATAAACAAACCTAATTCATTTCAAAACTGTCATTAATTATTTAATTTCTTTATTGCATTTTGGGGGTTAAAAGAAGGCAGAATGAAGATTTCTGAAGAGATGCAAAAAGAAAGTGAAAACCTTCCCAATGCACATTCTTCAGATAAAAGTTCTCTTAAATTTGAAGAGCATGGAGGAGAATCAGCATCAGCAAATAAAGAAATAGCTGAATCTATTCCTTGGAAAGGCTGTTTTCTAACAGAATTGCAAAAGGGTCGAAATGGCTATGGAATGCCACAGTTGCATCCTATCAAACCTAACAGTAATCACACTGTTATGTTCCAGGTACTTATTTTTTTAACATTTTATGTAGATCATCAGTTCTTTTGTTTGTAATATTGTATGCACTTATGTGTGTACAAAAGTTGATCCTGTGTGTCATTTTTACTAATAAATACATCCTGTCTTACAGATAGGACCAAAGAAAGATGGTAGTCATCCCCCGTCTGATGCATGGGACAGTAATCATGTCCGCTTGCCTTGCTCTCCACAGAATAAATATCCTGTTGGGGTAAGATACTATCTATTAAAGGCATAAAAGAATTGAATTGTGCCAAGAACTGATTGAGATATGATTTCAGGATAGTTTGAAATCACGTTGGGAAATGGTGAAGGCTGCTTTGCAGAAACCTGTACAGAATAGCAAAGATCTTGAAGATGCTATTATGTCATATAATGATAAGTACCTAGGTCGTTGGGACTTCTCTGGTCTTCATTACTTTTTCAGTGAGGTAAACAAAAAATATTTATTACAAACTTGTAAAATATGAAAATATGTACTTTAGTTATATCACAATTGCTAAAACTAATAGCTCATTACAAATAAATTTATCTTAACAATGCCTTCCATCCTGTGAAGAACTTTTAATTTTTTTATAAAGAAGAGAAAATCAATGATCCCAGTACAACATCAATTTTTCCTTTATTAATTTGTGAATTACCTCCAGTGGCGCTCAGACTTTTTGCATAATTTCCCTCTATTCATTTGCCAGTTTATTTTGTAATATAAATAAATACAAACTAATAGATGAATTCATATAATTTTTAGAATTTTAATCCTTTATTGTTTAGAACTCAAACCTGTGTTAGTGAATATTCATATTCAAGTAATACATATTGTTTTTAATTATATCCATGAAAAGAGGCATAGAAAAAAATTGACTTTCACTGTGACTGCAGGTGCATTAAGTGATTATATTCAATGAGAATATCTTCAATAATAAGGGAAAGTTTAGGTTTTTTTTGTTGATTCTCGATTCATAATTATTCGAATGAATAACAGTCAATACTGAGATAAGAGTATCCTTTGTAATCATTTATTATTAATATATAATCCCATTCACATCATCTTTGTGGCAGTGATCAGTGAAAAGTACCACAATAGTTTGTTGGAAGACCATCTATTGAAAATGCAATCCTCATACTCTCCCCAAATCAAATGCAGTGAATGTCACTTTAGATTGCCAATCTTGTGATATGTTTTATGTAAATGTGAAGGTAATGTGTTCATTGTCATAAATAATCATTGTATGGAACTTATTACACCCTTTTTAATATGACAAACTGTCCTGAATAGTGGAGAATTGTAGTGTGTGTGAGCCTGAGAACTCTTGTAATTTATTTCCTCAAATACGAAATAGGTTCTTAAATGGTAACTACTTGCTCGTTTCATTTCAGGGAATTGAAGAAGAAGAAACTCAGTGTTTCTTTTCTGAACTGTTGCCACAAATTATTGAATTGGTTCTACAGCTTCCTGCTCTTATCACTCATCCACTTCCTTTGCTTCGCAAAGGTCGGAATCACAGCATAAGTTTAACGCAACAGCAAGTTGCATGCCTTCTGGCCAATGCTTTCTTCTGCACATTTCCAAGGCGTAATGCTGCCAGAAAAGCATCGGAGTATGCAACTTTCCCTGACATCAATTTCAATAGGTAAACATACTCAAAGTTGTTTTTTTAACTTTGCTTTCATGAAATGCTCTTAACACATTCTTTTATTTTAAGACTGTTTCAGGGCCAGAAAAAGAAAGCTGGCATGCAACGAACGTGTGAGAAACTAAAGTGTATTTTCCACTATTTCCGAAGGGTATGCCACAGTCGTAAGTATAACTGCATTGAATTTGACTTCCAAGTAATCTGAAGTCAATTTTTTTTTTTAAATTGTGGCTAATTTCAATGTAAAAACAGCAAAAGCATTTTTTAATTAAGTTCATTATATTACCTTTTCAGAATACTTTCAAATATTTGTTTTTCTAGATTACATCTCTATTGCATTGTAGTTCTTCATCTTTCTAGAGCTAGAATTTGGTAATTAATATAAAATGATCAGAAGTTAATAATAATAATAATAATAATAATAATAATAATAATAATAATAATAATAATAATAATAATAATGACAACAACAACTTTTTATTGCTTATAACTTACATAAAGCATCAAGCAAAGTCAGCCTAGAAATTAATTAAAATTACAGTAAGTTAATTTCATCAACTTTCAGTAATAATGCAATAAGTTTACATTATCTTTCTAAACACTACTACATGATAAAAATATACCAAATTGATTAATATGTACAATTACATTAATTTAAGTTATAACGACTTACATTCGATTACATAACTTACAGTAATAATGCAAATTGTTTACTCAATGAATTACATGAATAATAATGCAATTATTCATAATAAACATTAAGGTAAATTACATTTTAAACTACACAAAGCCTCATTAACACAACAATTAATATTAACAATAAACTAGTAGATTATGATAGTGGCAAATAGCTTACAATTAAAGTAAGTAATTCCCTTATCTTACAGTAAATACAAGTTATATCACATCCCAATAAACTGTCAGATCTTTTATTTGTTATTTCAACTTTTCATTTGTTAGAAAATAATCAGTTATTGATTTATATATTTTTGTAAGAAAAGTATATTTATTTATATCCTGTTTTCTGAAAACAGTATTGGATTATAGACTGTATTAAATTCATACAGGCAAGTTGTCTAAGTTCATTTCCATTGTTACGTAAAAGATTTTCTTCAGAAGACCAAACTAATCCAGATATTAGTGTACACATACTCTTGCATTGAAGTAGCCTCATAAAGCTGCTACAGGCATACAAGCATTTTGCAACAGACTAATGTCTGTATTTTCACGGACTTCAGTACTCTGGTCATACAAGCAGAGCATAACGGATGTCATGCCCCATTCTTATCTGTAAATTCTGTGACCATTAATGTGTGCCTGAGTATCTGTGGCATAAGGTGAGATGGCTATTTGTATTTGTTTTATCAATAAATTATTGCAGAAGCTGATACAGATTTTGCCTTTCCTCTTTTTTTCCTTGTTCTGGAGCATATAGACTGAATGCCAGTGAACCTCGGCAAATCTTAACTCTTAATATTATTATTCTTTTGTTAATAAAATTTTAATTTTCAATTTTTTTACTTATTACTTTTATGAATAAGTATGGCTATTCGTACTCATTCCCTTATATTTCGAGATACGCCACTATAAATTAGTAGTATTCGTCAAGATCTTTTGATCGCATTTTCATCGCAGATCAGTGTTGGCCTTTACTATTAATTTCTCTACATCGCTGTTGAGTAGAATGCTGAAATTTTGCAATTCTATTATGACCAAGATTTCATCCCAGGGACTGGAGAAAACACTTTTCTTGGTTGACAGTAAAAGTTCATAATAATGTGTTATAATAAAGTTAATAATAGCTTTTGGTCATAAAACTTCTTTTGAGGATATATTCAACGAATATGCTCAGACAGTGCAAAGTGACTGAGTAGCACCACTAGTTTTTCTATAAGGTATTTAATCTTAAGTCCTGCAGACAAATGATTCAAATCAATCAATTTTAAAGATTATAAAATTTCCTAAAACTCTAAATATTGATATAAAACATTTTTTTGATATCAATTACAAACAGCTCTAGCATTTCAAAAAAAAGGATTTTTTTTTTTTTCCCTCCAAAATATGTGCAAAAATTACCTGTTTATAATATTATAATAGTTGAGAATATATTTGTCAGATATGCTTAGACCTTACAAAGCGGCCAAATATGTGATGGTTGTTGAATAGGTAAAGTTGGAATGGAGACCAACAAATTTTTATTGTCTTCTGTATGTGGCTAAGAGTCCTTGCTTTGAAATCTTTACCTGTTAGTTATTAAAGCCTTAATATTATTTCACTCATCACTAATTTCACCTAATTCACCACTTGACAACATTCAGATTATCATTGTGTAGAAATTTCCTTTAAAGAAGGCAGGTATGGTTTTTCTACTATAATCTTGTATTTTTATTTAAACTTATTTTGGATTGCAGCTCCTAAAGGAAATATCACATTTTCTCGCCGGTGTATCCCTCCATCTGGTTGTCCTTCCTGGGAGAGCTCAGGTCATTTCTTTCGAAAACTTCACGTTTCCAGTCATGGCACAATTGAAGAGTGTGGGAAAGGAATGCTGCAGGTGGATTTTGCAAACAAGTAAATAATACTAAAACACAAAAAAATCCATATCAAAAAATTATAATCTTGTTTCTTCTCAAAAAATGACATATTTTTTCATAAATGTTTTAATATTCCTTTCAGAATGGTAGGAGGAGGAGTGTTAGGATGGGGTTGTGTCCAAGAAGAAATTCGTTTCGTGATTTGCCCTGAATTGATTATAGCTCGTCTGTTCACTGAGTGCCTTGATGCCACAGAAGCTTTACTGATCACAGGTAACCAAAATCCAAACAATTGCCTTCTGTGTAATATTTTTGCAGAAATTTTGACCAAGGCCTGACTTTGTAGGTTGTGAGCAATTCAGCACATATGAGGGGTATGCAGATGATTTCACATGGGCTGGTGATTACCAAGATAGTACCCCTCATGATTGTAGCGGTCGTAAGCTATGTAGCGTTATTGCTATTGATGCTTTATATTTACGTTACCCAGCTCAGCAGTTTGTTGTGACCAACTTGTTAAGAGAAATTAATAAGGTAATTATGTAGCTTATTCAATGGTTTATTTTCTTTAATGGTCATTTATTAAAAAAGCATTAATTTAAATGATTAAATAATTCCAAAGTTGTCATTGCGTCGCTATTGAAATATTTGTATGGAAAATTGGAATTAAATTCCTTGTAATTTGCTAGCATGACATTGATCAAGCCTCACAATAACATTATTCTGAAGAAAGTTTACCTCTTTTCATTGTAATGGATAATTTCATTATTATCATTGATTCTACCCATTTTCCTATCAAATAAATTATTTAATATGGAAATTCAGATAAGTAGTTTTGAAAGTTTCTGCACTTTTATTATCAATTGCTACTTTCAAGTATATTTATTCGATCAATAAACAATGGTATAAAAAGTGTGATATGTCTGTGTCAAGTAAATATCAAAGCATGCCAAAAGTAGTCCCATTTTAAATCTGGGAGAATTTGTACCTTAGGCTTTATTATAAAACATTCAGTTCGGTTTCAGAATGTTTTGAACTCATATTTTTCCTATGTTATTAATCATGCTAAAATGCACTTGGTTATCTTTTATGGTTTGGCAGAAAATGTTATACTGTTAACACCAGTGTTATTCCTCAGCTGTAAGGTCTGATCTGAAATATGAGCCTGTCATTTGGTCACCAGATTTGGTTTGTGCAAGTCTTTTGAGGATTGTCAAAGACATTTTGCCAAAGTTCTTGAATTTAAAATAACTAGCAATTTCTGAATAGAGGAATTGATGTATCTGTTCCCTTACGTTCATGCTCCATGTTTTCATAAAAGGAAGCTACTACACCAAATTTTATTTCTCTTTTCTTATGAAAGGTTTCTTATGCAATTTTCTTATGCAAGGCATTGTGCAATTTCTACATTTTCTATCACAGATCTCTCTATTAGTTTTTTTCCCAATTTCTGCAATTACAAGCAAATTTTTGTCCTGGTATTTAACTACAGAACTTTGTGTAAACCAGACTCTCTACATTAACTAAGTTGACTTGCAATTTTGTGTCTAACTTCAATGTAGATTTGTTTGTTAGCTCCATTGGTTCACTTTTTTCTCCAGATTCCCCCAGAGTTAATACATCTTCAGTTTTTGTTTCAAAAAAAAATTATGAGATCAATTATTCAGATTTAAACGTTGATTTCTCCCACAAGATTACCACCCTCCAATATCTTCCACAAGCCTGTTACAATTTTTTATAAGTCATAAGCTCCTGTAAGCTGGTGTGTGATGGAGTTCTTCTTAGCACATTGTGGGTGTTAAGTTTTATGCGTTAGGTAACACCAAAATATTTGTCTATGAAAAGACTAAAAACTTTGGATAATAAAATGCCTTAAATGTTAGAACGTAATGTTCATCCCTAAAATAAAGGTATTTTATGTGCTAGTGGCATAATTATATATTGAATGAAAAGAAAGAGTTTACAGAGTGACTTCATAATAGAAAAGAATTTTCAAGGGAAAAGAAATCGACATATCCAAGATTCTCTAAGGTTACTTTTCACAAGATTTGTTCATCTGGGCCTTTATTTCAAAACTTAATTTTTCCTCTTTGGAATTTTTTGTAATGTGTAGTGAGGAACATATTATTGATTACTATTAGTTTAGGATAAATAAATTAATTTTGAGAAGAAATTTATTCAATATTATGTATTTCAGGCTTATGTAGGTTTTTTCAATCAAGAAGTCAATCCGGATCATCTATCTGCTGTGGCTACAGGCAACTGGGGTTGTGGAGTGTACCGGGGCAATACTCGACTGAAAGCATTGCTGCAGTTGATGGCGGCCACTCAGACTGGACGTGCTCTGGCATATTTCACATTTGGAGATGACCAGTTAAGAGATGATATCGTATTGATGCACACCTTTCTAGTTAATCACAAAGTTACTGTAGGTAAGATATTTGGCCTCCAACTCTTTTTAAATTATTCTATTCAATGATTCACTGACTTCCTAGGAAATTCTCATGAATTGAAAAGATTTAGAAATAAATTAACAGATTCTCTCAAAATATGTGAGGTCACATTTAAAATTTTTATACTTGTATTTCATCATCATTTTTCTATCATTCACAAGTTTAGAAATTACCAGGTGCAACAGACTAAAATCTATGGTTCAAGAATTGTCCTACGCAAATGTTCAGAGCAGGCTGTTCCAACTCAACCGCTCGTGGATACAGGTGCGCCCGCATGCAATCGTGGCCAGTCGAGGAGGAAATTGTGTATGGGGAAGCACTCTTCTCACTTATGCTTTGTTTTCTGAGAAGCAATGTGAGTAGTGTGATGGCTGGCAAAGGAAGCCACAACTCCTTTCTCTGTCTCCTCTTATATCATCTATCGCCTATGCAGTTGGAGATAAAAGATTGCAGAACATCATACGTCTAAAAGACAGATATTTTAATATCCTTAATTTGTTGCGGTGGTTTCAGAATTTACATGTGGAAGCCTTTCCCAAGCTTCATAAAATGCAACAAAGATTATATCTTTGCTTGGTTCAGCATATTATTGTGAGCAGCTTCTCTCTGCACAGAAAATAATGAAAAACAAAGAAAGAACCAGCTTGATCAGACATTGAACAAAGTTCTATGCATTGCAACAGTCCAAGGACTGATACCAGATATTGCTTCACTTGATAAGAAAAAAAGATATCTAAAATTAATTTAATTAAAAAATTGTTATTGAATTGAATCGAATTGTCCAGTTCCTGATAAACATTAAGGTTTCTTTCTTAGTAGGAGCCCCAGTGTGCCCTCCAATCCCCGACCTAACTGTCCTTGCTTCGGCTGTCAGCTAAAGGCCAGCTTGCGCCCCAAGGGCTGATGTTTTGCAAGGCGCCAACAGCTTATGCTGACAGCACTCTGAGCCCGCCAAACTCCGCCAGCACCCATGGTCGCTCACAGGCACAAGGTGCCCACCCACGGACAGCTGAGTTGGAACAGCCTGACGTACAGTATTAACATGACCAATTCTTTTCTACACTTTTTAATATTGCCATGTAAAATTATGTGCAAGATATTCTTTTTACATTTCATCTCATTGAAAATATTATAAATTATAACAATTCAGTCCATTTCAGTTGTGATTAATAACTAGAGACAGGATTTCCATGCAAATGCACGTTTTTATTTAAGCTTCGAAGAAATGTGAAACTTTGTAAATATATATTTCATGAAAATTTTGTTTAAAAAATTCATACTTTTTCCATGCATGTTTTGGTGGTAGATTTTCACGCATAATATTTGGATGTTTTTTAAATTAATACCGCATATTTAGACGTCTGTTTAGCATATTAAGTACTTTCGTATTATTTCTCTGCATTATTTGTGAATATTAACTCTGACACAAATTTTGTATAAATAGTATATTGATCTTAAACCCTGATAGCATGCAGTTGCCTTTGGTGCTTATTGTTATTCTACTCATTTTAACCTTCTGGTACACTACTTCGATTTGCGATGCAAGTACATGTGCAGTGAGCGACAATAGCAAAATGACTTATCAATGCCATTTGATATGTTGCAAAGGATAAGGAAGATACAAAGCCAAAACTCTATATCTTACGATCACTGACAATGGGAGAGGAAAATAATCAAGAGCAGGCTCTCAGTCTGCTTGCATGCAACCGAGGTTTAACACAAGTTTCTTAATTGTGAAGTTAAGTATAAAATGGCTTCTTCTAAGGCTTCGTATGCAGCACTTCTGAAAGAATTAGAAACAACTATTTTCTGGAGGGCATTTAAATATATAATTTTTTGCAATTGCTGTTAAAAAAAAAAAAAAAAAAAAAAAAAAAAAAAAAAAAAAAAAAAAAAAAAAAAAAAAAAAAGCAAGTAGTCTATACTGTAAAATTGATCAATAAAAAAAAATATATCCACTGGTGGTGTTTTGTCAATGTCAATGGAATAGATATGAAACTAAAAACAAAACTTTAATTTTTATTGACGTGAAACAATTATTTTCGGGATATTATTAATAATTTTTTAGCAGTTTTGAGATTTTTCTGTGGTTTAAGAAATTGTTTTGTAAAAACTGTTCGGCACATTCTTTTTAAATAATTATTGAATAGAAGAAGAATAGTATGTATATTCTTTCCAATTTTTCCCAAGTTTTGGAATTTTATTTGTATTATTTTTAATGTTCTTGGAAAAATTGTAAATCGTGAAGTACTTCATATTTTTTTCTTTTAATATGGTTTTAAGTACTAGTAGCATTGCTGTGTGTAAAATGAATAATTTGATCAACAATAGAAAGTAGTATGACAAAACAAGTACATACTGATTTCTACAACCAAATATCAAATTTGAGTCTATATAATTTCTGACCATTTAGTTTAAATCTGAATGTGTAGCTAAATACATTTTAAAAGGACAATTGTCTTAAATTGAAACTCTCATTAATTTGCGTCAAAATTTAAGTAAAAATTGTTTCAAAACATGGTAATTTGTAGCAAAGTTCTTCTGAAGAAATATGTAGCTCTTTATAATTTTAATTTATTTACACAGATTAAATGTTCTAAAAAGTTTCAAATGGGCCAGTACTTTGCTTCTACTTCTCGTAATGACAAAGCTAGAAAAAGTAAAGAAACTATATCACATTTAGTGCAAACTTTTGTTACTGAGGCAACATTGAAGCCTGTAACAAATCCACTTTTTATGGAAATATGTGATGCTTTAGGAGGGGCAATTATATCATTTGAAAAGTAGCAAATCCAATGTTTAAAGGATTTCCAGAGAAATATACAAGACAATACATAGGATCTATACACATGAAGAAAATATCATCTTCCTTATGTTCAGAAATTAAAATCAGTAGGTCTTACTCTAGTGTCCCTTTAAGGCCGTATAATGTTCAAATGATCCCGGTGAGGCACGAGGCAACCTGGGCCAATAGCCCAAAACTTGTATGTTACTAGAGTCACCACACACCTGAGCGCTCCACCTGAGTTACCTGACACTCAGTCTCTGAGGTGACTTCCTATTAATGAAACTTTTAATACAGAAGAAAAATATAATATATCCCGGACCAGCTCCGGCAGCTGAACTTCGAAAAAGTTCAGAGTCGGGTGCATATCAGAGCTCTCTGAGGATCTCAGGAGGTGACAGCTAGCTCTAAGAGAGGTCAAAGATATACCTGGGAGAGAGTAACTATGTAATGACCAATAAGTGAGGAAGTTTGTCCACTGACTGTCCCACTCTCCAAAGGCGCTTTTGCTCACCATAATAACATACAAGATACTTTCGGTTGTGGCATGGCTCAAGCAGGTAATAAAACTGATTGCTTTTCCGTGCGACATGGAAGGTGTCACCAGTTTTTTGTGATAAAGGAATGAATTTGACATAGAACAGTTAATTGTTCATGTGTATTTAATTGTTATCTTTATGAAAGGTGAAGTAACTAAACATTTAAGTAAAAAAGAATTTGATTGTGCTTGCTTTGTCCATTTTTACCCTACTTTGTGCATATTTGGCTATTTGATAGTGTATGTCTGCATGCATATTTTAGTATTTGAAAGTGCATGAAAATCCTGTCTTTATTTATAACTAACAAAATGAAGTAGAAGTCTAAAATGTGTACAATATATAATAGATAACATAAAAGGGATATCAGTATTATTGTCACACAATTATCATTATATTATTTTAATGTATTGTATATGTAAGGAAAGTTGACAGTATAATACCATTTATATAATGTCATCTACATAAAACACTGTAAAAGTGCTATTGCTGCATGGGAAATTACTGCAGAGTCCTGCATCAGATTTAAAACAATAAAAGTATATGTTCTCAGATTGTTAGTTAAGTAAAGGAGACATATCCAACTTGCAACACATAATGCTCAGCAACACTCTTTTCTGTTGTAAGTAACTCAAAAACTACATATTCTAGGTCCTTTAAATCATATTATCATGTCTCCATGAGACCAAATTATGTCTCTTACATCATAATTTATAAAGTGACACCTTTTTGGACTGATAGGTGGAGCCCAAGTTAGGATCCACTGTGAAGCTATTTTCACTTTTAAAATCATGATTTATTAAGTGGGGAATGTTCACATTGGCCCAGATAGTATCCTATAATATGCCAAGGAAAGATGGTGGTTTATATTTTTTAGAAGTAACCATTGGCACATAACTTTCACTTGCTCCATGCCAAAACACAGTAACCAATATCAATTTAAAAAATGAGTTATGCAATCTATTGCTATAGGGAGAAGGCATGTCCCCTCATAAAAAAGACCTTGAATTTTTGTTTGTTACCTTCTTGTATGTGACAAAATTGTTTTAAATATTTATTTATATTAGAATTATGTAATTATTTAAAAATAATATTGTATAGTATCTTATAACCGATCCAGTGGCCGAGATCGCTAAGGCAGTAGTGCCGTAGCGATCTCATACCGAAAGATCACGGGTTCGAGTCCCGCCTCAGGCATGGTTGTATTATGTTCGTCCTTTCACCCCCTATCATCCATCATCCTCCATCTCTCATTATCACCTTTTTCTGGGATAACTTCATATTGTAACTCGAGGATTTATCTCACCTCAAGTGATACTTCGCAAGTCCGACCATGAAACGTAAAGAAGTGAGTGGAACGACTCAAGTGGTCCAATGTGGCCAATCAAGTTAATAAAATAATAATAATAATAATAATATAATAATTATTATATATTATTTTATTATTATTATTATTATTTTATTATTATTATTATTATTATTTTAAATAAAAAAGAATCCATTTTGTTTGACTACTTTACATACATTATACATCTGTTTAACATTTGGTATAAACTCTGGTCTTATCAGGTGTAATTTTTAAATTTAAATCTTAATATATTTATTACATTTATTTTATTTATCAGTACACTTTAAACCCTCTCTAAGTATTATGTACTTGTCCAGAGAGGGTGTGTTACATTATACGCTGTTTTGTTCTGTGTTTTGTTTGTTTTTGTTTTTTTTTTTCTTCTTCTTCTTCTTCCTTTTTGTCTTTTTTTGTATTACCGTTGTTGATTATAGTTACTCATCATCAGTACTGTTTTGACATGAATGTTTTTATTGGAATTTTGAATTTATTCCTAGGATACTCAGCAGGCAGAAAGTATTCAAATCATCCAATTATCTAGAATAACAAATAAATTGTAAATAAATAAAAAGATATGTTAGTGGCAACTGTTAATATGAAAACTAAGTTATACTTAATAACAATTTTGAAAATTTGCAGTGACAATTAACAAGCAAAGGGAAATAAAATTATTATCTAAATTAACAAATCAGGAAACAAAATAGACTTCCTGTGGCAAATGCAGCTGACATTAACTGAGTTAAATTATCCCATTATAAATCATTGAAAATTAAATAATTGGACTCAAAAACAAAAATTAGTCATTACATTAAGAAACTGAATGAGAGTAACAGGAGCATTATACAGTTTTTAACAATTATTATCTGTGTTAACCGCTGTTTAAAATAATAATAATAATATAATAATTAAGTATATAATAATAATAATAATAATAATAATAGTATCTTATATACAATTCAAAAATAATATATAATAAAACAAATATGTGTATTATTTAACAACTAATGGTGCTTTAAGAGCAGGTACTTCCTCGCGATATTTTTAAGGGTTATGTAATATGGAAATTTCTCTCTGGCACCTCAACTACCATTTGAAAATTCGTAAAGAAATGAGGTGCAAAACATTCATAATTTTTTTTTTATTCAAAAATTTAAATGAAAACAGCTTTCTGCTATTAGATTCAGTGTATTCATGCTGTGTGATACCTATTTTAGCCATAAATAAAATTATTAGTTTATATTAATGCAAACCAACAGTTGCCATCATTATAACCTTCTGATATCAGCACAATTTAAAATAGAGTTAATGATTGCATAATATTTCTTTTCGAGATTTGAATGACAGCCTCCAAGCTTTTCATCGTTCCTTCTATTAACACCATAAACCCAAAATTTAAATCTAATATGTCCAGATATTCCACCTTCTTTCACAACAATCACTCTTTTGGAATCACCGCCTGACAATGAGAGATTATTCTGTGAACTTAACGTTATATTGCGATGTGCGTATTGTTAGATTCCAACTTCATAACTTGAGTGGTCTGATAACTAAAAGGTGAATCTCAAATTATCACACTTTAAATAAAAGTTTGTACAAAATGATTTTCGATAGTAAATTATAATTAAATTAAGTAAATTAAAATTTAAATAAAAGTTAGCAACATGACACACTTATGAATCAAGATAAATCTAATAATTTTAGAAGTGGCGCTGAATGTAGGGTTTAAATTAATAATTATTTCAAATTAATCACTTGGACTTTGAGCTTCGAGCAAATGGTTGTGAGAAATCATGTTCTTCCACACAATATTTGTAATGATCATGTAATATGTATTTACATTGCAACTAATATAGATATAAATGTTTGCACCTAATGTTCTACGATATAGTTAAACAATGAGGAGGAATTTTCAGAATATCCAACTGCCTTTGCCTCTGAAATTACTTTTACAGACTGACACCGCCTCAAACAAAGCGCTGGAAATTCGAATTTACCATTTCAAATTCTTTTCCAATTTACGCAAAACATACTCACAATTTTGGAAAACCAAACCAATACCTAATTAAATTAAAATCAATCCTTATTTGAAGATATGTTTTTGATGAACACATTTCATTAAGAAAAAAATTGTATCTTCATAATTTTAGTTGTAGGAAGACGCCATACAAATTTTGAATTTTTGCAATTTTTTAAACATCCAAGTTTTTAACTTAAACGCCATTACACTATCCAACAACAAAATTTAATCAAAATGATGGAACCATTTTTTTATGATTTTGAAAGTGTTCCTGGAGCTGCATATAAAGTACCCCCCAAAATTAAAATATTGGTTCCAAATTCAAGGGGTCGCGACATGAGGCAGATTGACTGAGGAAAATCAATTTTGGAGAAAATCGGCTCAATAGTTTAGCCTCTAGCATTTTTACAGACAGACTTTTGCCATCAATCAATTTTTTGGTATCAAGGACCCACAAAACATGAATTCTGGCTACACCATGTGTTAGAGGAATTTTTCTAAATTTAGCATCTGGTTTTATCTATATTTTCGTTGCCAGGGCCCTGTAATAATTTTTTTTCTGCCGGAAATTCGCCAACTTTTTGCGCAGTATTACATAACTATCTACTGCGGTGGCAGTAGCAAGAAAATAAAAATATATGAACTCCCTCCCCTCCCCCCGCCACGCACACCAAAAAAAAATTATCGGCTGGATCCACCTCTGTTAGTAGCTTTAATGATTTCTCTTGCATAAAACTCTATATCTACACAGTTAATCCCCCCAAAAAATATTGGAACTTTCTTTTCTCAAAATAATTGTGTTTTCACTTGCTGTGTTGTGGCATGGAGCAGCCTCCCTGAAAGTTCACTACTGCTAAATAGGGAATTATTGTTCAGACCTATATCCAACAGAGTTAGGAGAAAAAATATGTTTGTGGATAGCAGAAATGTAAGTGACCAATACATGTTACCCTGTTACTTGAGTGATTTGCTTCAAAATGTCAACAGTTTTGGAGAAATGTTGAGTTAAAATAGGATTTACCATAGAGTAACTCTGAGGAAGAGTTTGTCAATTAGGTTCATGGATGAAGGGGAACTAGTAAATAGCTTACCAATGTGAACACTGGGATTCAATTCCTGTATTAATTTATTATAATATTGTATTAAGTCTTCAGTAAAATAATTTCAGCAGGATATAATAAATCACATTTGTAACATAAATTGAAACAGCAAGGCTGCAATTGCATTAATAAATAATTTACGGTGCATTGTTTTATTTAACCCATCACAAAAACAAATTTTATTGGCATTCAGAATATTTTTTTAAATAACAAAATTAATTTTTTACAATATTCAAGAAAAAGGCTACTTTTAGTTGGTAATTTACAAGAGAGTGAAACTTTAATTTTTCCAAAGGGTAATTTCTCTCTTATGTGAATTAAATATGAGAATGTTGTTTGGTTTGTTTTTTATTCAATTAATTTTCTTTTATTGTGCCTGAAAATAAAACTACTAGGTTGATGTAGACATATGGGGAAATTATTATTTAATCTCCTTCTTCGATATATTTTTTGGAAAATTTGTGATATACACAGAAGTTAAACTTGCCATGCTCTGAACCGTTAAAGACCAGTTCTGGAGACGAGCTTCATAATTCCGTCATTATGACTCACAAATAAAAGAGTAAATTGTATACCGTTGCAGAAATGTGATATGCAATATTCCCTCATTATTTTGAGTTTCATTTTTAACTTTATGGGTGATTACTGTAATTGAAGCACTTTTCTCCCCTTAAAAGTGTAGGGAATATTACCTTTAGTTAATTATTCGTGACCTGTAAAACCAATTATATGGAAAAAAAACATACGTATTACTAAGTTTCTAGTAAATAAACAGGTCAAGCCACACAAGTTTTTCTTCCAGCATTTCCAACAAATGTTTTCAGGAAAATTGGTGCAATGTTTCAGCTTTCTGTTCTTGAAAGAACAACATACAGTATGCAAGAAGTCTCAGAGTATTATCATTTTTGCCCAATTGCAGAATCTTCATACTCTCCACACGTGCCTTCATAATAGTGACATATTCCAAATATACATTGTTTATATTTTTTTAATGTTTTTTCCATTGTTAGAGTAAATTTGTTGGTTTGTGTTTGACAAAAAAAGACCATACCTTTTTTCCTGATTTGTGGACTGCTTTTGTTTAACAGATTTAATTTTTTCATCTTTGTTTTGGGAATTCACCTTACTTAATTTCCAGGTCTTGTGTGGCGTCATTTATGTAGATATTATGATCAGTGCTATCGCAGTGGTATCTTTAATCAAGAACTTTATGATTACCTATATAAATGTATTGATCCTACCTACACCAAAAAAGATGTGTCTTCGAAAGGTTAGTAAGTTTTTAGTTTCCTTGGTCTGGAGAGAAATGTATTCAAAGTATTATTGCTGTAATAAGTATATTATTTAGTATATTAAGATATATTTTTATTCTAGGCCATTCAATATTCTCTAAAACACCTCTGTTTCAGGTAGACATACGGCTGTATTGTCAACTTCAAAAATGAAGACTAAACAGTCAAATTCTAATCAAAGTAAAGATAAACAGGACAAGACTGGAACTGACAAGTCTGAAAATACTCTCACTGAAAGTCCTTCAAAATCTTATATTCCTGATAATGAAATGCATGCTTCAACTGATCTAGCTAATGCAACAGTTGAGTCTAGTGAAACTAAACCAAGAACAATATCATTTGACTCAAAAGTCCAAAGTAGAGAGAGCAAGAATTCAATGACACCTACGGACAAAACCAAATCACAGCAACATTCCCTGAAGAAAATATGGAATAGAAGTTGTCAGTCTTCTCATAATCATACTCTTCAGCAAAATGTCAAGCCTAAAACTCCTAGTTCTACTGCAAGCCGCAGCCCTTCTAGAGCCAGTGCAGTTAGAAGACTTGGTGCATCAAGGAGCCTTGGCCCATTAAGGGGTCTTGGTTCACGTGGGAGCACTAGCCCCAAAAGGAGCCCTAACCGAAATAAACAGAAAAGTCCATCCAGAAACCCTATTCCACCCAAAAGTGCTAGTCTCGAATTTCAAAGTAATAATGATATTGGTGGAGATGAATTTGGCAGAAGTGATCTTCATAGCTCTTTCTCAGAGAATTTTACAAGACCTCAACATTTGACTATACAAAAGAGAATTTCTGATTATTTTTATGAAATAAATGTACCAAAGTAAAAACAGACTATAGATATAACTCTGATATCTGAGAAGAAATGTTTGCACTCTAAGAGGAATTTTTTTCAGCCTTTGTATTTGTACATATTTGTAATCAATAAATTAATGTTGCAATGTTTGTTTTAAACTTCTCTTTTATTTAGTTTCCAGATCATATACTATTTAACGTGTTCAGAAGCAAATTATTTACAAAAATATGACGTATGAAAATACTGTAATAAATTGTCTCTCTAAATCCTATGTCAATCCTCTGATGATTCTCAAATAGAATTTAGAACGTTACATATTAAAATTCATATAAATCTTGTCAGCAACAACAGATGTTTTGAACAGGAGTTAAGTGTGTGATGTACAGGATGTGTAGCTTAACTTGCAACCCATGTCTGAGAGCACTTGTTCTTGTTTTGAAAATTTGGTAACCTTGTGTTTTTGCCACCTTTGCCTTGCACATCGAGACAGCAGAGGCGACCATCTGGTCATAAGCTGAAGCTACTTTCCTGTTCCTATGTTTTTCCCATTCAAGAGTTTAGGCAGACAGGCACATAAGCAGCTCACACACCGGAAGCTTTTCAAGCTGCATAGAGTGAGTGGGGTTGGGAGGGAGAGCAGTCATGAGCAAGAAACAAAACGTTTGTGTAGGTGATTTTGTCCAGAATGCGTAAGAAACAAAACTATAATACAGAAGATGTGGAGGGAAGTGATGACTGGGTTTATCAATGTTTTTCACACCAACATTACAATAATTATTATTTAATAAAAGTCGGCTCAGAGAAATCAAAGATATCTCCTGAAACATTACCAATTTAATTATTTATAACAATGTGTTATAATTATTATTATTGAATCAGATTATTAAGCAAACAAGAAAGCTTTAATAAAATTATTAAAAATACCAATAAAACAAATCAGTAGTAAATTCTTAATTATTGAAAATAATAAAATATAATTTCCTTAAAATGGCAAAATACTGACTGTTGAGTAACCACCATTTGCCAAGAGACAGGCCTGTACTCTTCAATTCCTTGACAGATCGCATTTCGCTTTCCTTGATAGTCACAAAAATATTATAAAATATTTTTACTCTTGAGAACGCCAAGTTGTTTTCCATGCGAAAATACGAGATCGGGCAAGTACAACCATACTCTTTGCAATGTTATTTAATTTTCTTGGATTTGTTATGAGCAATAAATGAGGTTTTGGAGGGGCAGGATGTCAGCTTGCTACGGTGCAAAAATTAAAAAAAATATTTGTATACTAAAATACTCGATTATTTCCTGCGTTCTTACGTACCTCAAGAACAGTAATTCCTACCACAAAATAATAAAACTAATATTTTCACCTTTGATTAATAAATACCATTTGTTACTATTAGAAACCACTCTGTACGCTTAGATGAGAATGTTGCTTTGGTAGATGGGAATGTTGCTCAAACGATGTTTACGTATTGAATACCTTAGCGAACCGACACCTGAAGTTTAATATAATAAAGTGAATTATTTCCAATAGGAGTTTACAGCTGGGCATTGATGTGCTGATTTCCAGATACCGCCAACATTTAAATCGTGCGCCTGGATTGTGATTGTTGGATGGCTTACGTGGTGTATATATTTTTTTGGCGTATAGCTGCGCTAAAAATAAGAATACAAGTTTCACATAAGAAACCACATATATAGTCTATATTGAGGGGAAAAGACTAAGCCCCTTGTTGGAAAAAAAAGAAAGAAAGAAAAAGAAACGAGGTACACGGGAGGCGTAGTCGGGACCAGACGAGAGAATCTGCCCTGTCTCCCGTTTGCCGCCTTGCTGAACACATCGTGCACGAGTAAACTGTAGTCTTTGTTTTAGATGGGGACGTGTCAGATATTGACGTTATGAATTAGCAATTAGATTAGTGACAAGATCATAGTTATGTCAAAATAATTTATTTATGGATGTTAGGAAGTGACGCAATGAGAAAGTTTCGGGATTATGATTTGTACGGATAAATAATTGATCATTATACTACGAACTGGCTAATCATTCAATAGAATTACAGACTATTATTATTTAATAACATTTCTCAGGTAGAAAGGTTTAGATAGAAGATATTGTGATATATTGAATACTTCCTTCGTCCCGTTCTCGTCCGAGAAGATCCTGAATGCGCGCGAAGATCCATCGAAAGCAATTAAGACATTTCATTGAAATTGCATAAAAAAAATACTATTATCAGAATTCATACATTTTCGTACAAAATGATCTCCACAAATGTGTTAATAGTGAAATAAATACTTCATTTGTTTATCTGAAGAAAGGGTGATCAATCAATAGTAGCTTGCAATCAATCAATGATTTCTTTCAGCTACATAAAATGTTCAGAAATCGCTGATCCATATGGATCATGGTTTGCATACGACCAAGTTAGTAATAATCTCTCGTATGTCGATATCCACATTTCTGATTTACTGTTAATTGTTAAAAGGAAATTATTATTATTATTATTATTATTATTATTATTATTATTATTCCCTCCTGTGTGTAATTTATCTTCAGGAAACCTTTTTCTCCATTCTTTTCGTTCACTCGACCCTCATCCATTTATAAGCGAAATGATCCATCTCTCTTTATGATATGTGCAATTGCTGATACTCATGGAGTCACACCTTTCCCTTTTTACACAATCTCTCGATCAATCATTTTTCTGAATTTCCAGTTGAACTTTACCACGCAACTTAAAAGGGATTCATTCACATGCTGTTTTATAGGGATCTCATCAATTGGTAATGTCAACTGAAAATTCTTTATGTTTCCTACCCCGTGACACAACTTTCAAATACATTTCAATATTCCTAACCTGCAAATCAACACTAATTTTTAAAATTTCCATTTTCTCCGTCGTATCAAAATCCAACAATGGTTGACCGCGTGAATCAACAACTACAAACTTTTCTACCGTTTCTTTAATTCCTACTGGGGTAACTCATTCGAATTCACCCAATACCTATAACTTATCTTGCTGTCCGTAAGCACACAACGTTTTATCAGTTACACATGTTTATTTACACACAATTTTCAGTTGTTTACAAATATTCCACGTTAATTGATAAATAATATTTCACGTTGCCCCCGAATCAACAAACATTCTCAAAGAGACTTCTCCTTGTATACTGCAATTCTGTATTCACATACTTGATGCTTACACTAGCACCAAGTATGTGAATACAGTTTCTACCACTTGTTCACTTACGCCGAACGCATAGTTGTTATCATCTGAGTTCTTTTCAACTTGTACCTTTGTGTATTTTTTCTTCATAGCTCCGAATTCCTTTTGATCATCCTTCTTTGCGTCGTCCTTGTCGATAATTTTTGTCTTGCAAATCATTGCAAAATGTCCATTTTTGTTGCACCGATTGGAGGTCTTCGTCTTCGCTGGATACCGATCGTCGGTACGCACGTATCCTTTAACCCAAATATAACACTTTTCCCTTTCTTTTTCATCGAGTATTTTAAACTCCCCACATTTGTCACTTTTCCACCGACTCTCTATCCATAACCTTCAACTGTTACATGGAAACCTTGATTGCGCAGGCGATGTCCATAACCTCTGTGAGTGTCGGATTTCCTTTCTCGAGCGCCCTTTTCTTGAACTATTTGTGTAATCATTTGTCGATGAATTGGTCCAGGACTTCTTTCTCTTCATTGGCAAATTGTCCATATTTGGCCTGAAGACTCAATCTTGTGACGAACTTCGCGATGCTTTCGTCTTCTACTTCAACCGTATTCCGACGTATCCGATGTCTCTCATACGAAGTCTCTCATACTGCTTTCAGGTTATAGTAGCCATGTGTCGCTATAACACAGGCATCCCCACCTTCTGGATCCGTGTCAGCATCTTAGATTGCGAAACGGTGAAGTTAACAGCCACATACCACGGTGAAGTTAACCGCCATAACATGCATTTTTGGAGTGTAGAAAGCCCACACTGGATTGGTCAAATAAATCATCAGCGGCCTTGGTCGGTTAACGTTTAGTGTGGAATAATTGGCGATAAACTTATCGGACCATACTTTATTGACGGTAATCTAAATGGTGACAAGTACCGAAACCTTCTTGATAAAGAACTACCGAGAATGCTTGAAGACGTAAGTTTGGAAGCGACAAAACATGTGGTTTCAACATGATGGTTGCCCAACACATTTACTCATTAGTAGCATGCGAGGTATTGGATCGGGATTACAATAATCGTTGAATCAGTAGAGAAGGACCAGTGCACTGGCCAGCCAGATCACCAGACCTTACCTCACCAGATTTCTTTTTGTGAGGTTACGTAAAAGATGTCGTTTATAAAGAAACACCTACTACTCGTGAAAACATTATGCAACGAATAAGGGGCGATCATGCCGCGATTACACCAGATATGTTTATGCGATGTGTTCGCTCATTTGTAGGACGAATCAGTAAATGCATTGAGGTTCAGGGCCATCATTTTGAGCACTTACTTTAAATAAATGGTGAGTTATTTGTAGAATCATCTAAAGCCGGCACTCCGACAGTGAGAGGCAAAGGGACTCACTGAAAACAAGCACCTCAATAGTGAGAGGCAAGGGGGCTCACTGAAAACAACCACCCCAATAGTGAGAGGCAAGGGGACTCACTGAAATAAAGCACCCCGAAGGGAACAGAAAACTACTACGTCCACGACGTTGTTCCTGGGTTACGCTAAAAGTAGTTTATTGACTTCCGTAGAAAATACTGATTTTTATTAACCACTCAGAAATAATCGACGGGACTCCTTTTTAAGATTTCAATGTTGCCCACCGCCCCACCCGCTGGGGGCAGGGGGGTGCTGATTTTAGCATAGAATGATTCTTCCTTTAAAACTTAAGATTTGGTCTCGGTTCAATTTTTCAAACATCGTGTATTATTGGTTATTTCAAGTTGTCAAGTTAAATTGGACACTCTATATATACGGGAATGCTTACACTTTGCCTGTATTTTACACTTAATTAAGTACCGTGTTGCTATAAATACAAGTTATATTTTGTGTACATATTGCACGCTGACGGTAGAACAGTGTTCAAAATAACTAACTACGTGAACTAGTTCAATATTTCAGCACTAACCAAACGTTTTTCATTCTTTATCTTTAATAAAAAAACTATACACATATAATTATGTATATGAATACTTATTTTAACAGATACAGTTTTTTAATAAAAAGACTTAAAGCACTATACAACACCTTCAATTTTGTTTTTTTATATATTATTGTTTCGTTAATGAAATCATAAAATTCGATAGAAAACCGGTAGCAGCGCTGTAAGCCAATAATGAACTTGAACTTAAACAAAAGGCCGATTGGTTTGAATAATCGTATTTTTGTATAAAAAATGTATGCCCCAGAGTTTGGAAAATTGAAAAAATGATACTTTTGGACTCAAATATTAATAAAATTATTATAATGTGTTTAACTTTAAGCAACCTTACATATACAAAGAAATATTTTCAAATTTGGTTAGTTAGATAATATTGCTAATTATTTTTAAATGTTAAAAACCATCA